ATTCTTATAATACAGTGATACAATTTGTAAGAAAACAAGTGCCGCGGAGCGACAGCGCTCATCTACTCTACTGCGGTGACTCTGTGGTGGATGGTGGATCGAGTGAAACCCTATTTAGTCCCAAATGTGTTCACATATACGCCGAAACATGGAATGCACAGGGATGGTATCAGGAACCTTCTCAAAGGAATGTTTGTTGGGATCGTTATGAAAGTTGCCACGAGATGGCGCGTACGTTTAAGTGTCTTCAGATTAAGATGGAAGCTCCCATCGTACGTAGTTAGCAACAACTATTTGCAAGACAGAATAGCGTAAGCACTCATCCATTTACCTACGCAAGCCTACAGGCTGCAATAGAAGCTGCCACCTGTAACAATTGATGCAGGCAAAACTACACAGTACAGCAAACACATGCACTGGCAGTAGCACTGGCAGTGGCATACGGTACATGTAACTACTGACAGTACAGAATGCCATAGAAATATACGATTAAGGAGCATAAACCTTCTTTAACCAAATTAGCTTTTGAAATTTCACTGTGACATTGTAGCCTCATACATCCAGGCATGTATAGATTCTACTAGCAAAACCCGGCAGTCAAATTCTTTCTAACAGAACAGTCAACAAATCCATGTTTAACCCTCCTCTTGAGGGTCAAAAAGGTTATCTGACACTTACTCTTCGCACTCAGCAGAAAGTAGATTTCATGGTCCTTTCAATAATGCCATAAAAATGCTAGGTCACCGCTACAAACAAAAAAGTTTTTCAATCGCTCCGTCAGACCATGTCCTCAGAAAATGTCTAAAAATCTGCCCTGTGCCCATTGACCTTTGACCTGTGACCTCCAATTTCGGCACAGTGATGGCTTTCCTACCATGATGCTATACACCAACTATCACGAGCCTAGGTCGAGCCTGTTTAGATTTGTGCCGCAATTCTGCATTCCTCCTATACCTTAAGTTAAGGAGTGAATGTTCCCCCTTCTTTTTACACTCTTGACCTTTGACCTTTGAACCCCAGCTTCGACATCCCAACTCGTTGACGATCCCCCAATGTGCCCAAATATCGTGACCGTACGTCGACGGTTAAGATTTGTGCCCAACTGTTGGACAGACGGACGGGACGACGTACGGGCACGGACGGAAGACGCGGCCAGACGGCGCGGTACGGACACGGACAATCATGCGATTCTACAAGCTGCATCTGACTATGTCAGATGAGGCTAAAAATGAGAAAAATCAATGAACAATTTTGAGCTGGCCCTTTTGCGGGACGGTCGAAGGAGGGCAACAAACAATATTTTTATTATGGCCCCAACATTGACATCACCCCCCCCCCTGCCTCCCACTCACTTCTCAGCTCCTATATTTATACTTCCGCCTGTAATCCCTCCCTGCCCACTCACTTCCTCAGCTCCTTCTGCTCCTCCCGCTCGCGCATGGCCTTTGTGCCGAAGCTGCAAGCGCTTCTCCATGTCATCACCTCCTCGCTGGCCTTCAGCCGCTTCACCTCCTCCACCGTCAGGTTGAAGAACTCGTCGGGAAGGTCAAACTTTGTCATGTTGCTCGAGGGAGAGAACCATAACAGTACAGCCAGTACAGTCAGTTACGAGGTATTACATACAGGTATTACAGTACAGCTAACAGCTACAGCTTACAGTCAGTACAGGTACAGTACAGTACAGCTACAGTACTACAGTACAGTACCAGTACAGCCAGTTACAGCTACAGTACAGCTAACAGATACAGTACAGACATTAAATACCAGTGCAGTACAGTACAGTGCAGTACATTACAGGGTATTACAGTACAGTACAGTACATTACATTACAGTGCAGTGCAGTGCAGTGCCATGGTATTATAGCACAGTGCCCATACATTGCAGTGTAGCCGTAGTGCAGCTACAGTAAAGTGCCAGAACAGTACAAGTGCAGAACACAATACTGAGGCGTGTATCAGGAGACACGCGATTGGCGCTCGAGTGAACGAACGCAGCGCCTCCTGACGACACAGCGAGGCGCTCAGGCTGTCGCGCTCGCTTGTCGCTCGCTCGCCATCAAAGATGGCGGCCCCATGGAGGGTTACTCACGCAGATTTAATCGCGAAGAACGAAACAGTTACTAGTTGAAAACGAGATTAGCAGACGAAATTGAATACAAATTGCAATTTAGAAGTAAATGAATACATGAAAAGTGCAAATAAAGTTTGAAAATAGATTGCAAATTGACGTCAGAAATGTTAGATTCGCCATCCGCCAGATTTTGTCGGTCGCCAATCTTGTAAACAACTCGCCGCACTGAGCGAACAGCTTTTCAAACTTCGGCGCTGCAAACGCTAGCTCGCCGCTTCGCTCGCGCCAGTGCGTTCAGAAGACAGAGCTGCCAGATGCGATGCGTTCGGTCTCGCATGAAACACGCCTTCAGTCGCTTTTAGCGTAGCCGAATTCAGATCCAACTGATTTAAATCACACCGTGTAACAGCTTAAGAACCACCTGCCCGCGTGTGAATCTGGGGCGCTGTAGGGTGGATCGATGACGTCCGTCTATCGGAAACATCATTCAATAATTGAATTTCATCACAGACTCATGCACAGCCACCGGCTATTTCATAGAACGTTTCTGCATGCAGGGCGCTAAGCCTTCTGAAACCGCATTTCTGACTTACATCTAGACACGACGCCGTAACCCTGTGACAGCCACACGTGTCTGCCGCGTTGCTACGGTCGCCGTACGCGGCGCCTTGCGTTTTGTGTCTTACAGCTTAGGCGCACCACCTGGCGATTTTTTCCGTGCAAACTTGACAGCATTCGCAGAATCGCCGTTAAAAAATCCTGCTGCAATCGCTACGTCTGCACGGGAACGTTGCAACTGCCCCAACCCGTAGCAATTCTGGTCGCTTGCGACGAGATGCAAAAATCAAACTTGTCTTGATTCTTGAAGCCGACTCTGTCTGGCTCCCAAATTGGCTTAGAATTGCTTCAGAAAATCGAATGCTAGTGCGCACACGCGGTGACACATCGACGATCGCTTGCGTTGAAGCGTTGCACGACGAGCAACCAAACAATCACAGGTCTGCGCTAGGCTTTACGTCTCTCTCTCTCTCTGTCTGTCCTCGTCTCTCTGTCTGTCTGTCTCTGTCTGTCTCACTCTCTCTATCTCTCTCTATCTCTGTATCTCTCTTCTAATCTCTCTCTCTCTCTCTCTTCTTCTCTCTCGTCTCTCTCTCTCTCTCTCTCCCTGCTTTTACCTGCAGGCCACGATCGGCTCATAGGATGGGTTCGCAGCCAGCAGGGCCGTCGCGTGCCTCAACGGCCGACCCGTGGATCCGCCGCGACCTCCGGCTGACATCACGAGGAAGACGCCTCGCCGTCCTCAAACGCAGCGTCTGCGCGTCAGAAGCCGACGAGCGCGCAGGTACGCAGCCAGCGCCCTCTAGCCCGGCGACGCGCTCGCAAACGCGCGATGATTGCGACGCGCACCTTGCGTAGCGTTTCGGCTTGCCGGGCTCGGGCGATGATGTTGTCGAGGTAACGCAGATCGTCTCCACGGCAACGCGCTCGCGCACGCTGCGTTCAACGTCAGAGATGAGTGCGGTGGCCCCAATCGTCTGGCTCTCCTCCGCCTGGCGTACAGGAACTCGCGGAATGCGCGCCTCGATCGCCTCGCGCGGCGAACCTCGGGCCCCACCAGGGGCATCGCGTATGGTAGACGCCGCTGACGGAGAGCATCGGCGGGCCGTCGAGGGTCGGCAGTCCGCGGGCGCGGTCGGTCCCGCCAGGCCGATCGCATGCTCTCGTGCCTCCTGCCTGCGAGAACGAGCGAATGTTACATCACGGATTAACCACCAGGAATGTGAGCAGTCCGAGGACATGGAAATTCAGACTTTTTTCGGTAACAAGCAAGTTTTTTTTTTTACTAAGCCCTCACCATAATTTACTAGCCGTACAAAGTCTTGCGATTCTACTCCTCTAAGTTATACGAAAACCTGACATTCTAGTGAAATTATCCCTTTACTAGTAGTAGTTATACAATACTCCGCCTAATACTCCTACGTTAGCTCACCAGAGTTATATCTCCTACTAAACCTATTTCCCACACCGTCATGTATCTCCTATTCAGTCGCCCAACACGCTATACCAATTGCTACAATTGATGATGGATCTGATGAAGGGAGTACCGAGTTCTGTTCTCGTACCTTTTGCTAGTTTTCGCTCAGCTTCCATCCTTCGAACGCGTATCTGATATCTCGCTGTCGACCCGCGCGTTTCGCAAATGCCCGGTGCAGGCTGGCAGGTCTTGCCTAGGGCTGACTCTGCAGGCTGCCTTCTTGGCCAGCAGTTGCCTCCTGTGAGCCACTGCCTTGAAGGCCCTGCACCTGGATAGATAAAGCTCCCTACACTTAATGCTAAGGGAGGCGTACCATATGCTAGTGACGCCAGGAAATGATACCCTCAAAAAAGAGAGGAGTCTGCAGCAAAATGAAGGAGTCAGAGTCTGCGAGTTCAAAACTAAAGATATTAAACAATTTAACACATGTGTTTATTCTTGAAGATTCATTTGCGGTTGCAATCTGCCAATTTTCTTTGGACATTTGCTGAAAAAAATACGGCGAGGCCGTGCTCTGGAACGAACTTAGTTAAGGTATTAGCATATTGTCAGGGAGTCATAACGGACTCCTACAGTATGTTAAATCAGGGAGTCCAACAGTAGAATTCAGGGAATATTTGACTCCTTGTAGGCAATACATTATATCAAGAGCGTGTTAAGAAGTGTATTACCTTCTTGCTTATGGTGTATTGCTTCAGGTATCACTTCACCCTGCTGCGAGTGAGACTGCCCGACGGCGTCATTCTGCAGGGCACGTTCAGGTGCACCGAGCGAGCGGCGGCAGTCTACGGCTTCGTACGAGATAACCTCCTCAACGACTGGCAGCCATTTTGTCTGACGCCGAGCGGCGGACGCGCGCTGGCGGAGGAGGATGAGGCAACGCTCGCCGAGCTTGGACTCGCGCCGGCGGCCGTGCTCTCGTTCGCGTGGGACCAGGAGGTAGGCTTACATTGCGTGTCGCTATATGTGACCGGTTATAGCCAAATTAGTCACTTGGAGCAGTTTTTCAATTTCCAGATAACCATGTGATGATGTTCTGCTGTCATTTATCTTCATATTGGTCCAAAAATTTTGAGAATCGGATAAAAAATAAAAAAGTTATGGACATTTGAAGTTATGGAGTTGTGCCAGCACCCGTGCTCGTATAGGCGTACATTGCGTGTCTCTATATGCGTAGCGATTCGATTTTAGATTATAGATTTTATAGATTTTATATAATATTCTCTCCCAGGTCCTGCCACCTTTATCGTCACTAGATGGCAGCACGGGTTATTGTCGACCGATCTGATCCTCGCGATCTCTCGCAGGTCCTGCCACCTTTATCGTCACTAGATGGCAGCACGAGTTATTGTCGACCGATCTAATCCCCACGTTCTCTTCCCAGGTCCTGCAGGAAGTCATCGCACAACAGGGTGGGCCAGACAGGGTCGAACACTTGAAGCCCGAACTACTGAGTCTGATGCAGATGCTGTAGGCTGTCCGCACAGCTAGCGACACCTAGTGGCACCGTCAAGCAACCGACCTAACGGTGGCACCACCTGCCTGCCATATCTTCCCGCGCGTTTGGGATCAGCGGCTGCATCTCTGTCATCATCGTCGTCGACGACAAGATTGGCGCGATTCGTTCACGCGTCGGACGGGAGCACAGTTTTTTCGACGCGGACGAGAAAAAAGGCTAATTAGTAGATCGTTAGCCGCGGCGCTGCTTCCATGGGCGATCGCCACGCGTTCGCTTCTGCGAATTCGCGCGCAGATTAATTCGCGATTGAACCCCTAGATGGTCGCCGCTCTCGCATGTTTTTTTTTCTCGACGACAGCGAGACAGACGTTCACATGTTTTGAGCTGTCGGAGCGCGATCAGAGTCTCGTTAATGACGGCGACTCCGCAAAACTAGTGGCGCGCTCTGTCTTTGAAATTGGGTTCATTTTGCGCTCTGATGCCGCGGCTGAACTGGGTCGTTGCCGTGACGACCTGTCCGCACTGTCTTGTCTCTCTAGAGGGCAGGCGTTTGTTTGCGAGCGGCAGTGTTGCCTGGGGGCTACCAGCAGGTGGCGCTCACAGTCGTGTTCGCTGGCGAGGGAAACAATGGTGGTCTTGTTGCCAGCGACTAAGACTGGGAAGTTCGCTAAACTGGAAGGTCGCTAAATGCCAATATTTTTGCAGAGCTTTTGTGAAGCTTCTAACTGGAATGAAGAAGGTGTGCGACGTGCCATGTCTTCTCATACTACTGTTGCAATATTCCTCACACTAATCTCTCCATGTAATGTGAAGATGCTTGTAT